CAGGTGTGTAATAAGCAAATAACATACTCACCAAGAATGTAGTGGCTCAACTATGATTGAGTTTTGAGTTGAGTCATAAATAGTACAAAACAATCTTGTAACTGTCTTATTTCCTGATGAAACAAATTATAACCTGAATCTTCCTGCACAAGAGACTGAAGGACAAAGTCCACAGAATTACAGGATTCCCATTCTAAGCAGGATTTGCCTGGCTACATGCTTGCACAAGTTTTAACAGTAAGTTTTTAGATCCACATGCTACAGACATGCTCTTGCCTGTCAGTGGAAGGACAAGTCCCAATGAAAAGTTCCAGGTCTATCCTTGCGAACATGCTTAATCATTTATACATTGGGGCTATATTGTAGTAGGCTATTTTAAACACGCAACAAAATGGAACACTGAGACTAGAGGACTGGGTTGGTGTCGCTGGCACCGCCCTAAGTTGGTTTAGGTCTTACCTTGAAGACAGGAAGTACTTTGTGGAGATTGGAAACTGTGTCTCAGATCATATGGCCCTGACCTGTGGAGTACCACAGGGGTCGATCCTGGGACCTCTTCTGTTCAATCTCTACATGCTGCCGTTAGGTCAGTTAATACGCAGAAACAAAGTGTCCTATCACAACTATGCAGACGACACTCAGATCTATGTCTCACTGACTGCAGGAGAACATGGACCAGTGGACTCACTCCTTCACTGTATCCAACAGATCAGTGAGTGGATGCAAAACAACTTCCTTCAGCTAAACGCAGACAAAACTGAAATGATTGTCTTTGGTCCCCAGAAACAAAGAGAGAGCGTCATCTGTCATCTACAGTCTCTCTCCCTAAAACCTTCAAACAAGGTCAGAAATCTAGGGGGTAATACTGGACTCAGACTTAAATTTTAATAGCCACATCAAATCAGTAACATCAGCAGCTTTTTACCATCTAAAAAACATTGCCAGGATCAAAAACATAGTGTCTAAAGCAGACTTGGAGATTCTTATCCATGCATTAGTCTCCAGTAGGTTAGACTACTGCAATGGCCTGCTCACAGGTCTGTCCAAACAGGCTGTAAAACAGCTGCAGTACATTCAAAATGCAGCAGCTCGAGTCCTGACTAGAACCAGGAAGTACGACCACATTAGTCCAGTCCTCAGGTCTCTGCACTGGCATCCTGTGGCTCAGTGAATAGACTTTAAAACAGCTCTGCTTGTGTACAAGTCTCTCCATGGCCTCGCACCAAAATATATTAGTGACATGTTAGTCCCATATGAACCAGCCCGGACTCTGAGGAGCACAGGGACTGGACTCCTGTTAGTGCCCAGAGTCAGAACTAAACATGGGGAGGCTGCTTTTCAGATTCATGCTGCTAAAATCTGGAACAATCTTCCTGAAGATGTGAGACAGGCCTCCTCTCTGACAATGTTTAAAACCAAGTTAAAAACGGTGCTGTTTAGCTGTGCATACAACTGAGGGATTTTATATTTTATCTTTCGTTTTAATGTTCTGTGATTATTTATGATTTTAATGCTATCTTGTTCAGCACTTTGAGTTGCCTTGTGTATGAATTGTGCTATACAAATAAACTTGCCTTGCCTTGCCTTGCCATTATTCACCTCCAAAGTGTAAAAGAATGTGGCCTGCAGCTCTGATAGTAAACTACAACATGCTGGGACGTGAATCCACTTGCTGAGCTGCCTAGATGTTGTGTAATGTGCAAATACTACTTTTGAGGCAGATCAGAAAACATAGGTGCCAAACAAACATCATGCGTGCTTATACCCAAGTGTTCAATACTGCTCATGACCAATACAGGAGTAGTTCAATTCTAATTTGCTCTTTACCAAGAAGTTTTTATAAAAAGCCAGATCTATTGTAGTGACATACAGTTTCATTCCTTCTCAAGCAAATCCTTTCAAATGTACTGGCAATAACAAAGCACAGAGAAGAATGTGGCTATAGAGCAGGGGTCTCTAACCTTTTTCAAAGGTTTTTATAAAAACAGAAATGGAAAAGAGTAGTCGCAATATAATTGTTGTCTATATAATAATAACTACAGCCAATCATGGAGAACACACATGCATGATAAACCATTAAACCATCCAGTATCCCTTCAACGACAAGACAACAATTATTTGAAATGTAATTGTAATATGTGTAGTATTGTTTTTGTCCACAATTGAAACAAATAAATAAATAAATAAACAATGACAAGAATGAAAATAAATCATTCAAGATCTGTTACTTATGATTATAATTCCTGTGATTTTTTTATGATTTTAATGCTTTTTGTGACTGTCTTATAAACTTGCCTTGCCTTGCATTCTTGGAATAATTGCTAGCTACCTGAAAAGTGGCTACTGGTAGCTCCCGAGCCACAGGTTGGAGACCACTGAATTAGAGTAATACAACTTTTTGACTAATTTTCCAAACGAAGATATCTGTTTTTCCAACTATAGACATCCATTATATAAACCTCCATTGAAGAAACATGAGACATTATGTGAAATAACTTGCTTATGTGTTGGCATCACTTAAATCAGGATTGTCCAAACTTTTAACTAAGAGGGCCACTTCAGTCCGCTAGACTTGTCCAGGGGCCGACAACAAGAATTGCTCTATTTTGAAATGCTAAATGAGGTATAACATGAGCATTCATACATATGCGCATCTGTGAGAGCTGAGGTTTGTTGAATAGCTTTTTCAATAGCTACATCAGTGCCATAGACATATTGTTGTGCCATAATAAAAAATAATAAATGTCAGTGCATACACATACATGGATTCAAAAGGTCTGGATAACGCCATGAACTTAATTGTATAACTGCAATGGTATTTTGGGTTAGTGTAAACAACTTTTTAGTATTATAGTAGTGCGCATATGTGTGTGTTATCGTGTGACCTATGTTTTTTTTTTTAAATAAACGGGGCCCTAACTTTTTGAGGGAATCTCCAACTACAATTTGCCTTTTTCTGTCTCTGTCATCCCTCTCCTGTTTGGTACGCTACATTAAAAGGCATAGGGCCGCATAGAATGACAAAACGGGCCGCAATTGACCCTCGGGCCATAGCTTGGACATGCCTAAGTTTAATGATAGCAGATTGTTATGAACGTCTACCCACCTTCTGTCTCGTCGCCCTCGTCCATGCTCAGCGGCTTCCTGCGAAATGCGACCCTGCTGAAGCCGTCCATTCTCCGGTGAAGCTCAAAACGCTCCAGCATTTAGATATTTTTCATGTTTTAAAATCGCCCATAACACTTTCAACCTCACGAAGAGAAGGGAGCGGTCCTCAGGTGAAAATACCGCCAATCCAAAAGTCAAAAGGAGCAGAAACAGGAAGTCCCACGCACCACACTGCAGCTATAAACATTTTGATATTGAAAGTTTATTACACGATCACGTGGACAGCTAGGACTGTTTTGTTTTGTGGCATGTGTCAAACTTTACTTGCAGTCTGTGGGAGGGACCGAGACACAAGCCCCGCCCCCTGACCCACAACACCACACCTCCCCATAATTAACACTTGCATAAGTGTTTTGTTTTTTTGTCCCAATTGCACATTTTGATCTGATGTTAGTACAGATTGTGTGTTTGTTTTTGATGATCTTTGATAGACAATGTGTAAGTGTTTGATTAAGATTAAGAGATCCTTTATTGGTCCCACTGTGGAGAAATTTCAGTGTTGCATCAGCGGTTACAGAATAGTAGGAATGAAGAGCGCACAACAAAAGATAAATCAACAATAACTCTATGAAGTGAAATGCGGCAAAAACAGTTTAGTGAAAGGCTGAATGCTAACTGCTGCAAGTAAACAGTGTGTTGACATGGTAGTACTCTGGTGGAGAATGATTGCTCTGGGAGTTAAAGGCAGAACTCCTCACATTTAAAAAAAGAGGTCATTTGATAATGATGACGTAGAAATAAACTTCAAAAAACAGAAACAGTCGAAAAGGCACATACGCTGAGTACAACTTCAAAAACCTGCAGTGTTAAAAAAAACAAATAATTAAACTTTGATAATGATGGTTTTATTCATGTGTGGTGTATGTATTTCTAAAAACATTTTTTAGACCAACTGTAGCCATTCATTGTGACTCATAAAGTGTGAGAGGACTATGGAGGTTCAAGGAATTCTTTTATTGACACTGGCTTCTGTCAAACTGTGGGCAAGAGTATCTCCTGCTTCTCTTTCATTCACTGCTCATTTGTGCAAACAAATTATAATAAAAATCTATTAGAAAAGAAAACACCAACTTTATCATTCAGATATTGCAGAAAAAACAATATAATAAATGCACTATACATGGACAAGTACAACACTAATACCTGGCATGAGAACATACGTGAGAAAATCACATCTGCTGTAAGGTTTGGTCTGATTACCGGTAGTGCATTGCTGAGAGATGCATTGTGCTTGGAAATATTGCATTTTGTTCAACACTGATTGGTATTGTCGTTAGTTTACAGTTTGCAAAAGACAGGAGCAGAATGAAGAGATCTGAAGTGTCTGAACATTACACAAAGTGAAGTGCACTCACTATGAACTCTCATGACCAGTTTATCTCATGGTCACTTAATCTGTGCAAATAAGGAAAATCCAGCAAACGCATACAGTCTTCAAATTACACAATATTTTGTACATACATTTAAATAATACAATACAAAAAATTGTAAAAAAGAAAAAAATTAAAAAGAGAAACAACTACCTGCAACAATCTCATCAAATAGAGGTAAAAATCCTCCTATGTCAAAGATGAATGACCATGCTAACTGTCCTTAGTTTGTTGATATAAAGAATAGCTGCTTTGTTTGGTTAGGCAAGGCAAGGATACCAACTCTTTTAGTTGACTACATCCCTAAAGACATTACACATCCTTTTTATGGCTATACCATAACATTCTGCTTATAAATATCTTGTAAAATTAACAATAAAAAACAACAATAAAAAACAATCAAACAAATAAATTAAATAAATAGTTTAAAAAAGCTTTGCACTGCAGTCGGTTATTCCACGATCAGCGATGATGGTCCTGCTCCTCTTCTGTGGCCGCGGTCACAAAGGCGGGGCAGGAGCTGCTGTCTCTGGACACGTCAGGTCCCAGGCTGATGGGACAGGCAGTTACGAGGGTCACACATGGAGAGGGCACCATGCTGGCTGAATCACAGCTGCTTCTCTGCTGCAGATCTACGACTGAAAAGACAATAAAAGTTTATCTAAAAAAATTGTAATTTTGTGAAAGAAAACATTGACATGTATATGGCATCAAAAGAGCTGCAGCAAAAAAAAAAAAAAACAGCACAAGGAGCTGGTCTGACCTGTGGCTAGAGCCCTGGTGCAGACTGCTGTTGTGTCTTTGACACTTCCTCATTCACTCGATTTGTGTTATCAGTGATTACAGCTCATCCTTTTACATGTTTGAATGTGACTTTGTGTCAAGTGAAACTTTACTATAAACCATGTGTTAATTCCTCCTATATGTTTTTTTCTGCTAATAGCTCCCATTAGTGCAAGAACAGCTCAGCAGTCAACATGGCAAACAACTATTCTTAAAACTTAAAACTAAGTTTAAAAAAAACTAAATTGTAATGTATTAACCTTATAGCTAATGCATCATGCAAAGCTGTGCATGCAAACCTCATCAATGCCATTATAAATAAATGTATAGTTAGTGCAGACTGTGAGGAAACGTACATGCGAAAGTGAGCCTCATTCGTTGTGATGTGTTAATACGAGTTCTTCAAGTTGCTACAAGTTAGTGATGGAACTACAGATAGACTGTGTCTACAGCTACCAGCAGGCTTCAGCTGGTTACCTGCGGGCAAGAGAGGGCCTCTCTCGCCTTAGTGCTTGGGAGAGTGGCGATATTGAGGCAGCAGGCTGCTGACAATCTACAAAAAACTGATCAATTAGACAAATATACAGTTGTATCACTCAGGGACAGATAAAGGAGCGACACCCACACAAAACAGCAAGGCACCTTTCAGAAGATCGCTTATGTGTAAAAAAGTGTTAGCGACAAGAAAGAAAAGCACATGTTCACAAAAAGTCAAACACATAAAGTGACAGACAGACACTGACACAAAACAAGTTCACCATCCAAATGTATTGTTTGTTTGGTACACAAAATACAGAGTAAATATTGGAAAAGGTAAATATTAAACCCTATTCTTTTTGTCTATATTTAACATTTTGCAAACCCGCTGATAAAAATACAACCATAAAAATCAATATCTTGTAAGCTCATTTGTGCTCATCTGCTTATTTGTTGATAGAATACACATTTGAAAATAGCAATGGTCTGAGTGTGCCATCTGGTGGCCATGCTTGGGCCTGCTCAGGTTTGTGAGTTATAAAGAGGACAACTTTTTACAATCCGTTTTCCAAAGTCATCACAAGCAGTTTTTAATCTATCAAAAGCCAACATCTTCAAAACTAAACAACATGCACTGATCACTATGGGCTATTTTAGGTAGGTTATTTTAAAAATACAACGCAAGTAAAAAATAATATATGTAATAATGATATTAATGATATATTATGTCAATAGAAAACAATGAGACACACAAGTCAGCCACGGGGAGCCACTGTGCGCTATCTACAGAAACCGGTACATATGCAGTACATTTATCTATAGAAAATTAAGTCAGGTTCAGATACTGGGCACAGTTTGTTGTAGTAATTCTTTCCCACCAGTTTAAACCAATGGTGTTTTAGAAAATATTTCTGGCTTTCTCTTCCGCACCTAATTCTTAACTGCTGAGTAAAGCCATGGCGGAGACTAATTTCTGACTACTAAGCTATCTCTTGCGGCGAAGGTGAGGAGACACTGAGGTGGAGTTACTAGGGCTGCATCTTGGAGATGGGGAATGTGGTCCTGTGTCCTGCCTTGAGTAAGCCTGTCGTTTAACCTCTACTGTAAGCCAGTCTGGGTTTATCACTACAGGCTCTATGTCTGCACTGGCAGAGGAGAGGCCTGGTATGGACAAATCTGACCCTGAGGTCTGATAAAGAGGGTTTGAGGTCCACGCCGGCCTGTTGGGCCATGCTGGCTCTAAAGAGGTAGGAAGATTGAGGGCGCTGAAGACACACAGAGTGTGAAATCTAGTAGGGCTGGGGGGAGCTGTATGGGCAGCTCTGCGACTTACTTTAGGAGGACTGCTTCTAATCTTGGGCACTTTAGCCCCGCGTCCACGGTGTGTCTGCTCGTGGTCAAACTCTAGATCTTCTAGACGTTGGGTTAGAGCCAGTTTCTGCTGGATTGCCATTCGCAGGAGAGAGTTCAATGTCTTTTTCTCGTCCTCAGCAGCTGCCAGCTGCCTCTGCATCTCATCTAACTGGGTAACATACTCATCACATCTACAAGACAAAATAGATCAGAATTACACTTAGCTCTTGGCGTTTTCGATAAAATGGCAGTTGCATTGTGGTACCTTGTAGCAAACATAGCTCTCAGAGATGAGAAAGTTGCAGCGTCTTCTTTCAAAGCCTTCAGCTCGTTCCTCAACTTCATCATGGTCTCTGTAACCATTGTCTTTTCATTCTCATATTTGCTCTTCAAATTGGCCAGAGCACCTTCTGCAGTCTGAAACAAAAATATTTACATTTGAGTGATCATTTAAAAACAAATATTACATTATTTTTATAAAGTTTTATCTATTTCTGTAATCCAAAATAGGATACAGACTCAATACATGCAAAGTGATGTCAAACCTTCATTCTGATTTGGATTATTATGACAGATAAAGGCTATATTTATCTCACTGTGAATGTAATGAGTCTGTCATAATAGTTTCACATTATAAGTAAATGGACTTTTGAAGGATGTCCAAATCTAAGAATGAATTGCACCTGTTTATTGGCCTTTAGCACCAGCCTCAGCGTAGCTATTTGCTCCCTCTTGGTACTGAGCAGAGACTTCAGTTTGAGTATCTCCTCCAGGCAGGACTCTTTGTCCTTGTCCAGAATAGGGGCCAGCTCCCTGGCAGCAGCCCTCTGCCGGGACAGCTGCAGGGAGCGGTCCACGGCCCTCTGAAGGTGTTTAATTTGATCTCTGATGATGGCGTTGAGGTTGTAAATATTCATGGGCTCTTTACGCAGGTCTCCTGCCTCTGAGGGTACAAGTGATGGACACGGGGACAGGCTGTTGGCTGTGCGGGTTGGACTGCCGTGGTATGCAGGAGAGTGCACCCCTGAGGTGGACTCACTGTGGCTGCTGTCTTTGGACGGGGAATCCATGGGGCTGCGTGGAGGATCAGAGGAGCATGCGGCTGAGATGGCAGCCAAGCGTCGGGCCAGACGAGGGGAGAGTAATGCCCGAGGGTCGTCTGAGCCTTTGAGACTGCCACCTCGAGTGACACGGCTCTGCCTGTAGTAGTCCAACATGACGCGGTTTGGAGTCTCGTTGTTGCACAGACAAACGTGGTGATAGAGCTGAGCCAGCTCCTCACTGAATGTAACTAACTCGTCCTGTGCTGTGTTCAGCACACTCTGGCCCTCTGAGGTGGCGACTGAAGCTGCTCGGAGCTCCGCTTCCAGTGTAGAAACCCTGTCCCTGGCCTCGTGACATGTGCGCTCCAAACTAGAGACCTGAAAGGAAGACATGTGTGAGATCACATCAGCTGACTCCCCATCATTCATCCAGATCTGTACCTGTTCAGAGAGAGCCTGGACCCTGTCGTCCGGAGGGCTCTCCACGAGGCCCTCCACTGCCTGGTTGTACTTCTCCTTTAGCGCCTTGAGCTCAGCCTTTAGGTCAATGACCTCTGTCACTGCTACTTTATATTTACATTCAAGCAGCTCCAAACCGTGAATATCGACATCATGGCTGTTGGTGGGTGGAGATGCCAGGCCCCCGTCAGGTTTCTCACTCTCCTGAGGGTCAGCCAGCTCTTTGTCCCCATTGCACTGGTTAATGGTGTTGACATGCTCTGTGAGGCGGTGCACCCTCTCATTCTGCTCACTCAAAGCGCCCTGCGTGTGCTCCAGCTGCACCTGCGACTCTTGAAGCGTGCGCAGAAGAGCAGCTTTCTCCCGTTCCACCTGCAACATGAGACACATCCAGGTCAGCCAGCGCCAGAAACCATGTGTCAGCGAGATCAAGGAACACTCATTTAGGTCAGACACACATTTAGTTATAATGCTGTTAAGGTTCAAGAAATGTTTTAGAATTATTATTCGATCCTTCTTATTCAGTGTAAAAGAAGGTGTTATTGTAAACACAAATGTAAAATTTGTTACAATTATGTACAGTATATGTGTTCCTGAATGGGAAATGTTGCAGATAAAACAAGCTGAGGGTTGAAGGTTTTGAAAACGCTCATTAGCAGTGACTCACCTGCAGGAGCTGCTGCTTGAGCTTCTGAATCTCAGACATGTTGAGTTCACTGAACAGGTCAGGGACTGGGTGCAGGTTGTCCCCCTTTCGCCCGGGTCTGTACTCTCCATTTATTTTGGCCAAACCCGTGCAAGTGTGGAGGTGCCCGTTGCGCCGGTTGCAGTCCTCGTTGTTGGCGTTGGCGCTGGAAGCCTGATTGCTGCTGCTGCCTTTGGTTTCATCGTTGAACTTGAGGCCTTCGACACCGGTCACTGTGAGGGCCAGATGAGCCCCTGCCCCATACACACTGTCACTCAGACTCAGGTGGTGGGACAGCTCTTTGCGCAGGTTGTTCTTCTGCTCCCTCTCGTTCTTTAAGGCGTCCAGCGCCTCCTCTAACTGACTCTGAGAAATGTCCTTCAGACGAAGAGCATCTTCCAACTGACAGTTCAGAAGAACCGTCTCCTCCTCCAGAACTTTGATTTCATGTTTTAACCCTTCATACTCCACCTATAAGAAATAATCATGAAAACATTCAACATAAAATTGTGAAACAAATTTATCTGACTGACAACGTGAGCAACAAAGAATTGTATTATGTGATAAAGCAATTTGCTATAATACAAACAAGAATAGGACACAACATAAAATTCCCAGCTGTCTAGGATGCATGTTCAGGGCATTTCAAGAATGTACAGTGTGATTGAGACGTGTCACCATATTCGATCACCTGACTCTGTTTGAGCGTTGACACCAATTTCTGGAGCGTGATGTTCTCCTCCTCCAGCTCAGTGTAGTCCTGCAGCAGTCGTGTCTCTCGGAACTTATACTCTTTGATTTCTTCCCTCGTTCGGCTTCTCTGTATCTCCAGCATTTCATTGGCCTGTAACAAACAGTATTCAACATTGTTTAGAACCATGACAGAGCATGAGCCAGATCTACCTGTGATTTGGTCTTTGAAATGGTCCTTAATAGAGTCAGATGTGTCGATGCAAACCCAAGTCATTAATCCAGCTACAGGGCACACAATGACAGCCAAATCAATGATGATGCAAGAGCAATACTGTACAACTGCAGGGATTTCCTAAAATAGGTTCACTGTAAAATGCACATCTGTGCACTTTTTCCCTAATCCTCGTATGATTGGGTCTGAGGCTTGCCAAAAAAATCCCATGAGTTATAGACTATGAGTCATAAAGCGTATGTCCTTAGTTTTAGGGAGTCCATTGATTCATAATGTAGTCTATGTGTTATCTGCGTACAATATATAATAATAGAGTGTTGAGTGTGAGCTAGTTTTACTGCAGAGCAGCCTGCAGCCTCCCTGCAGCTCACTACATATGGCAGAAGTGCTGACCCACAGTGTCAGGAGTAAGCACATATTCTCAGACTAAAGCTCTCCATTTCTCTTTGTTACAGGAATGACATTGACTGCCCTCATTTTCTAAGATGAAAGATTACACTTGTTCAAGGCCCATGACTGTCAACAGTTCTAGCTCATAACAATGAATCTGATTTAAGTGAATTGGCGATATCAATTTTAACATCTGCAAACATGATTGCATTGCAGATGTATGCAGTTAATTAACATTGCTTATTTTGTTCATGATTAGAGGACAGTGAACCTGACCGGATCTCAGGTCAGGGATAGAACATTTCCCAACACTGGCTTATGGCCCAACAGCCTGCTCTTTTTGTCAGGCAGATTGGCTTTTGCACAGGAATGAATGCAGTTCATAATATTAAAAGCTTGTTTAATAAAAAGCCTGTTAATTCATCAGATAGGATGGTTATTGCTGACAGGGTTCCTGTTCAGGTGGCTGCACAATGATCACAACCCAATTGTGTGTTATGATATTAATATATGCAGTCTATGGTTATGGTCTGTGTGAACTGTTATCACAAGAGAAGATTTGTTGTACCTTTTCAAAACTTTCCTATATCATAGTTAGCCCCCTCTCCAATCTGGGCAGCCCTGGTTTAGTGCCTGTATGCGATGCTATGGACGCCTCCCTCTGCTCCTCCACATGTGCCGAGCTCAGGGCATTTCTCAGGCCGGAGCTTAGTGTTGGATTTGGTCTTTACAATGGGGTCGTGGCCACAGTGTCTGACCCAGAACTGAACTCTGCTGCAGCGAGGCTCACACCCGAGAAAACACCTTTATCACAGACACACCTAACGTCCAGCCTGACCTGCTTGTGTCAATCACTATGGAGGGTTCTCTATCAATCACCTGCTACTGCACCTGGCTTCTGTATGCACTGAAAAGGTTACCCTGCGCAGAAATGCCTCATATTTCATAAAAGCTGACCTCTCGTAGCTCCTGTGCTAGTCCGTTGAGCCTCTCGGTCTCTCCCTGAGCGTTAGAGGCCACAGATCGGCTCAGGGTCAGCTCCGTCTGCAGCTCCAGCAGGCGGCTCATGTAATACGCCTCTTTGGACGCAGACTCCAGCAGCAGCGTCTCCTCGTTGGTCTCTCCGTCCTCTGCCACTTTACGCTGGTTTGTGTAAGCCAGTCCGAACGCCTGCAGAGACAGTTGTCAGTAGTTATGACTCTATATTTGTATTTGTATTCAGGCAGATGTATAAAACAATTGGTTATATGCCTTTTATTTTATTTTAATAGATAGACAGCTATAGATCAGGCATATGGTTCATGGGATAAATGCGGCCCTCTGTGTCATATGATGCGGTCCTCTGCTCTGCTAACATAAAATAGTCTTTGAGGTCATACACAACAGTTCACAGTGTCATCCAGCCAATATCAGCTCTACCAATATAAACATGTTATACCTCAGAGTAAAGCTCAGAACCCATAGAATTCAGCACATTACATTTATTTTTGAGTCATAAAAATTATGTCAAAACAGTTTTACAATCCATATTGTCGGGCCCTAAACAGCTCAGATGAACTAAAGTGGCCCTATCACTAAAAATATCCGAACCCCTGCCCTGACATCAATCAATTTTGCACATAGAGCCAAAGCATAATCCTACTTTATGAGTTTTATTGACAGACAGGTGTACAGTTATGTTGTTGTTGTAGTTTATGCATTGTAATTAAAATAAAACAGTGGAGACAAGGAGCTGCAGGTGTCCAAAGAAATCAAACTTAACAGTCAATTTTTTTTATATTTCAGTCAAATAAAAAACCTTTATATGGTAGCTATAGTTTAAAAAACACCACCATGTGTTGACTGTAAGGCCTTCAGTGTGGGAAGATTTGGACCTTTCTCTGTTTGGAATGAACCTCCAAGATTATGCTTTTATGTTTTTAATATATCTTGTGCTCTTAATGTGTTTTTTAAAGTTTATGTAGATTCTACTGTTTAATGATTCATGCATGATGTAACATGGGTTGTGAGGCGCTTTGCGTTACCTTGTGTAGGAAAGGCGCTCTACAAATAAACTTTGATTGATTGAAGATCGGATTAAGATTGTGAATATTATTAAAATGATCGCTAAAGAAGAAAAACATATGTACATTTGAAAGTTGCATGAGTGCTTGTATGTGGGACAGTGGCAGTGCCAGCGGGTGCATCAGCGGGTGCATCAGTGGGTGCATCAGCGGAGGTCCCACACGACACCTCTGTAGGCTGAGGTTTCAGGAGGATCAATACAAACATTGTTCCCACTTCCTGACACAGGTTTTCACAGAGCTGACTTGTCATGATAATGAGGCAATGATCCGATTGAAGAAATCAAGCAAGCACATCCTCTTGCAAACACACTTGTGCTGCTTTTTCAAATCGCAACTAATTGTAACAAAAGTGCTCAACTATTTGGTTTCTTTCTTAGTTAGAAGACTACAAGGTGATCTGCTCACCAGGACTTGAAACTACTGGAACTCCCAGAGCCGTCATTTTGACTGCTCCCTTTCAGATCCAGTAATGTGGACATAACTTGAAAGGCGGAAAAAACAGTTTGATGAAAGGATAATGCTAACTGGTGGCAAGCTAGCAGTATTTGGCTGTGGTTACTAGCCCTTGCTCGTCTCTATTTCTCTACTTCAATTCAAAATTATCTTTTAATTTGTATTTTCATTGTTTTATGAAAATATTTACATAGACATAAACTACACCAAGATAGGAAGATCAAAAATGTACATGAGCCGAGTAATTACACTTCCAAAACGAAAAGCCGTCCAATTGACTGCTCTGGTAGTTCTAGTGTTAAATAAGAAGAAGACTTTCCCTCTTAAACAATAGAGAACAATGTGGGTGATGACAAAAGGTGGAATCCTGGATGAACAGATAATGGCTCTCTTCCCTGACCTCTTGTTTCCCATCATGCTCCAGGCTGGAGACAGGATCAATGTGTCAGTGACCGGACAAGTCATAAAGCAGCATCTATTAATAATTTAGATTTTCCATCTCATGATAATAACATTTTCACTTTGAACATGAATCATTTATGAACTGAAAATATGGAAAGGGTTTGAGTCTGCGCCTGAGCATTTCTCCATTTTAACAATACTACTTAAATTGATTTGGATTGGAATATTTATGTCAAACCTGCCCAGCATATTTTCCACATACATTTTTTTTGAGCCCCTAGTTTTTTTAATTTTTATTATAGGCCTCTACAAAATGGTTGAGAAGCAGCTTGATGGTAGCCATTTCGAACATGTAGGGAAATGATATGGTTTTGGATAGCTAAGGCCGGGCTAGCTTGATGGTAAAAGTGCCTAAAACCTAGTGATAGAGATGCCCCAATGAGGTAGATTTTAGTTCCAAGCTTCAAGTAGATATAGTGACTCAAAAAGGGAATCATAAACTATCGAAGGGATACACACAGAGAAATAGTTGAGTAAAGCAAACTCTTATACAATTTCACAAACACAAAATGACATTAATGTTTGCAGATATACTGACCGGGCAGACGTAGCACACAGAACTACCCCATTACAGTAATAATAACCCATTGGAGCGTGAAAAGAGGCACTGTTACGTAACCTCTATTCTGCATTTTTCTTTGGAGTCCTCCTCTTTTTTTGTTTGTCCGATAGAGACCTCCAGCGGAACCATTACCTCCCACTCTCCAGAGGCTGAGGTTTGATTGTGGTGAGCGAGTAACAATGTGGGCCTCTTGAATAAAAGTGGTGATTAATGAAGATGTAATGTGGGCAACAAGCAACAAGCAACACGCCACTGCTGCTGCCAGCGTCTCTGCAGGCTTTTGTTCACATGAGGCCCAGCACGTCACTTGGCATCAGCGCAGACGCCACAGATTATGACAAGCAAACAAATGCAAAAGGCCTGGAAAACACAGTCAAAGAGTATACTACAATAACAACATGATAGAATGATGAGAAATCTCTACAAACTTCTCAATGTTCAAACATCTATGGTGTTGGAAATTTCACTTGACTGTATATTATTAGTGTTATGTGTGGAATTAAAACTAAATAAGTAATCTGTATTTAAAAACACATTTCACAGACTAAGGTAATTGTTAAAGTCTGTTCTGTAACAAATAATCTATGGTTTGATTAAACGCTTCTCAAGTTTTTCAATAAATGTGAACTATTGTAGAAATTGAATTAGTGTTAAGTGCTGCTCATGTTTCAAGTTACGTTTTCTTCCGTAATCACCACCAAACAATCCACCCAAAAATAACAATACACTATTTTTTCATAGGCAAAACAAAATTACATTCAATTAAATCAAATTCAACATTTATATATATTTATATTTATTTTTAGCTTATTCACATATTAATTTATGTCAATTTCTCTAAGAAAATAATGGATGCATGTCAAATTTAATATCAAGATTAAGAGATTAAGATTTAGAGATTCTTTATTTATTTATTTATTCCCACAGCGGGGAAATTTCAGTGTTCACCTATTAACAACAAGCTGGGTTTATGGAAAAAATCCATGTAAAAATATAACTGGAACATAATTTGGGAACTATGCAGAGAGCCAATGGGGGCAGGAGCTCCTAACTGCCACTCAAACCTCTCCAGCCAAAACTCTTGGCCATCTTGCCCCGTTCCTACCGGGTGACGTCACTGGTTCTGTGCCCAGTTTCCCAGATTAGACCCGAACACTGAAAGAGCTTATGTTTAAATGCAGTGAATCAGAAACATCTCACCGCAGAAAACATGTATTTGTGGGACGTGAAAGAGGCGGCAGATGGCCTGAACACAAGGCTCCTGTCTGGTACTCAGTCTCTACAAAGAGAGACGTGACGTTTAGATGAATAATAAGTCAGAAAATACAAACTCATATTTTAAAAGCTGTATTACTTATGTTGTTATTCTTTTATTTACTGAAGTATTAAAGAAGAGTGATATATCATATTCAGTAAAGTATTATTATTACTAAAACAAGAAATGGATAGAAATCTTAAACAATAGGATACATTAAAGCATTGTTTTAGAACATGGCCTACTATGAGGAAATCATACTGTATACAGGGATCAAGAATTCTGAGCTTCCGGCTCCACCGCGCGGCATTGTGGGTAGTTTTCTCAAAAAAGTGGGCATCAAATCACGCTCTCCTATTAGATTACCTGTTGCGAGCGTGATCTGTCTTTCTTTCTCGATTGTTTTAATCGCTACAAAAATCACCAATTTCAGACATTTAGAAGGTAAGGTAAAGATTTTTTCATGTAACAAAAAAGCAATGCATTTTTTTCTTGTGGTTTTAGATGTAAACACAACCAACTGACGACAGAGCTACACACAGCTTGTATAAAGAGTGCTTTTCAAATTTGGACAACTGGGACAACTACCACATTAAACTTATTGAGGGAAAATAATTAGATTAATTAATACTAGTTTTCATTAATATTCATTAATTATTCTGCAATAATTGTAATAGCGTTAAACTTTTATATTATTTTGTCCTGGGATGAAATTGCCCTCTTCGAGTTTGACAAAAATCAAACGATTCTTTAAACCTTGAGGTTCGTGGTCTTGTGCACTGGATACAAACAGATAAACATCCCTGGAGCTATACTGAGAGACAAAGATACAGAGGTGGACAAAAAACAAACTGGCCTGTGCACTATAGTACAAGAGAGGAGCTGCTGCGTACTGCTGGCCACTAATGAGGAGTCCTGGGACGTCCTGAGGCACTGGGAGAGGGCAGAGCGCTGTTTGAACTGTAGCTGACAAAAAAAAAACACCTTCAGACTGTAATTAAGAGGAATATAACATCACTACATGAAGTCGTATTCATTCATTATTATGGTGAATCAGATACAACACTTACAAATGCATTCTTATTGTGACATTCTTTCTTATTTTTATGCTTTTAGGAATTTTTGCAAAATCCACATTGCTATAGAGACAGCCACCACCACTACTGTGATATGCATCTATAAAACTTCAGTTTGTTAAAGATGCCAATTTGACTGCTTTCCGTTTTTTGAAAGCATAATGACTCAGCGCATGTATATTTTTGGTCTGGCATTAGAGGTTCTAGAAATTTCAGAATTTTGGCAGGCCTTGTGTTAAAGGAGCGGGTTCAAAGTTGTGGTCTTGTCAGATGAGCTGTGCAGAGGCAGCACCATG